TTGATATGTAGCCCAGCCTGGCTTTGAACGCTTGATCCACCTGCCTCAGCCTCCTGAGTGCTTGGATTACAGGCAGGCATTCGCAGTCTTGCCTGGCACAAATCTGTATTTCGTACTCAAAAGCCATAATTAGCAGGCGGGCATGTGTGCCTCGGCGCGCTGAGCCGCATTTCCGGTCTTGCAGTCGGATGAACGTCTCCGCCCTCGCTTCTGTGTTGTGCAGTCACTGCTTTTTTCAGATTGAAAATTAAAAAAAAAAAGTTGGAGGTTTAGTTGGGGTACGTATAGGTTCACATGAGGTTGTAAGAACAAATGCAGAGTTAATCTCTAGAGGTGCACTTTGCTCAGTGGCCCCAACGGTAACATTTGGGGGGTTTTTATTGATTTTTATCACAGTAACTGCTGAAAACACATTTTCACGCGGAAGCGACCTCCCTGAGAGGAAAGGAAAGTAGCGCCATCTTGTGTCGAGTCTGTGCACTGCACGGAGCCGGTGGTTAGGTGGTGTTTGACCAAAGTCAAGGTCATCCCTCAAGTACTTACAACGTCAGCGTGGGAGGGGGGTACGCGCCTGTAATCCCAGCACTCTGGAGGCTGAGGCAGGAGAATCACCCACAAGTCTGAGGCCAGCCTGGGCTGCATAGTGAGTTCATGAAATTCATGGCCTTGAATTTACGGCCATCCTCCTGTCTCATCCTCCCGAGCGCTGGGATTACAGTCGAGCCACCACCCCCGGTTTAGAGCTCTGTGCTTTTCAAACCCACACTTCAGTGGGGAAGACAGAGCACACCGCATACAAGTAAAGATGAGTGCAGCGGTGGGAAGCTTGGGGGAGCGGGGTTCAGACACAGGCCGGCTCGGGGGCTGTAAGGCCCTCAGGCTCACACTCTGCACCCCTCAGGCACCTCGAACTAACCCCTGCTGGCCTCACTCCCCCAGGGCCTCCCGGGGGCGGTGACCATGCCAGCCCCAGTCCCGCTCCATCTCGTGGCTTCCCCCAAGTCCAGGGGAGGAAGCAGAGGCCCTGGCCAGGCCTGGTGTGCGGCAGGCAGCTCCGTGGGCTCGTGCCTGGGCCGGGAGCCCCACACCACCCACACGGAGGGGTGGGCACTGGAGATCAGGCGGCTGCCGGGGCCACGGGGACAGCCCCGCACTGCCACTCTGCCCCTGCAGCCGTTCAGTCCCTCCAGGCACCGACCGGGCCCCGGGCCTCTGTCTTCCAGATCCAGGAGTGGGAGGCCCGGATCTTCGCCCAGAGTAAGAACGGCCTGGCTCCGGGCTTCATCATGGAACAGAAGGTCAAGACCCGACGCAGGATCAAGATCCTGGAGGACCAGCTGGGCAGGGTGAGGGCAGCCCTGGGCTCTGTCCCGGCCGGGACTCTGGGGCCGGGGAGCCAAGCAGAGCGGCCACTTTGGAAAGAGTAGATGGGCAGCTTCAGGAGGAGGAGGAGGCCTCAGGGGCTGCGGGGGAGGTTCCAGGGGAAGGAGACCGACGGGCAGTGTGCAGGTGTCACTCAGAGTCCCCGAGGAGTGCAGGGCTGGCCCCCTCCCCGCCAGCGCCCGCTGCTCAGCCGAGCTGGAGGAGGGCGGCCGGCGGGGCTGCACACAGAATCCGTCTCTGCTCCCAGGTCACCTGTCGCTTCGACATCCAGCTGGCGCACAACGCGGCCCTGCGGGAGGAGGTGGACCTGCTGCGCATCGAGAGGACCCGCTACCTGAACGTGGACCGCAAGCTGAAGAAGGTCAGTGAGCAGCGAGGCCGCCCCGCCAGGCCTCCCCGCGCCGTCCCCGCGCCTGCCGTGGACTTGGGGGGCCCGCGTGTGGAATCGCGGGGTTGGCCTCGGTTCGGAGGTGGTGTGATGGGCAAAGTGGCCTCATTTCTGCTGGGGACACACAGGTGACGTGGAATCCAGTCACCCGGGGCACCAGGGAGCTGGCGAGGCCACTTACATTCCAGGGTTCATTTAATAACCTTCCCAGTCCTTCCAAGAACCTGCCTACCACCTCCCCTCCTCCTTTTAAAGTAATTTCAAACTTACAGAGAAGGTGCAGGAATCACACAAAATACTTCTATATATCCTTCATTAAGATTGATAATTTGCCACATTCTCTCTTTTTGTATTTTGGTCTTTTTGAGACAGGGTCTTGCTATGCAGTTCAGGCTGGCCTGGAGCTCACTTTGTAGCCCAGGCTGGTCTCGAACTTGCAATGATCCTCCTGCCTCAGCCTCCTGAGTGCTGGGATTATAGGTGTGCACCACCACTTCCCGCTTCTCTTTCTTTTTTGAGACAGGGTCTCATTATGTAGCTCAGGCTGGCCTTTAGCTCATACTGATCCTCCTGCCTCAGCCTTCTGAATGTTGGGATGACAGGCATGTGCCACCATGCCTAGCTTCTCCCATATATATATATATGTGTGTGTGTGTGTTTGATTACTGTTTTTGCTGAAAATGATTTATTATCACAATTGTCAAAGTACTATTTGATAGCCTGTTGCACACATTATGCCTTAAGTGTTTCAATGTGTTTTTCTTTCCTTTTTCTTGGTTTTTTTTTTTTGAGTCAGGGTATCACTATGCAGTTCAAGCTGGCCCTGAGCTCACTATGTAGTCTATGCTGGCCTCGAACTTGTGGTGATCCTCCTGCCTCAGCCTCCTGAGTGCTGGGATGGCAGGTGTGAGCCACCACGCCCAGCTGCAAGGTGTATTTCTTGAGAAGGATGCTGTTTGCTTTTTTATTTTCTTCTTTTTTTGGTGTTGCGAGATGGAGCCCAGGGTCCCTTGCTCACTAGGCAAGTGCTATACCCCTTCACTCCCTCCCCAACCCCCACCGTGCCATTCGCTTTCATAAACAGCATAGTTACCCAAGTCAGGAACTTGGACGTGGCTGGGATTGCGAGCAGAACACATTTCCAGTTCCCAGATTGTCCCAGTGATGTCCTTTGAGGCTGCTTTGATTTTCCTGCCTCAGCCCAGGCGTCAGTCCAGCATCCCAGGTTGCCTCTGATTGTCCTGGCGCCGGTCACCTGGAACAGAGCCTCGGCTCTTTGTCTCTGCGACCTTGACACTTGGGAGGCGTCCAGGCTGGCGGTGCTGCGCGGAGTCCTCCCGCTGGACGCGGCGATCTTCGGGGTTAGATCCAGAGCCTGCATTTCAGCAGCGCTCCGCAGGGGGGAGCTGGCGTCTTCGTGCACCTACACAGGAGGCTCCAGGCTAGTCTGTCCCATAACCAGAGAAGCCGGTTTCCGTCACCGGGTTCACCTTCTTCTCTATGATGACCACGGCACGTGGGGGGACTCAGGGTACGCACATGTCCTGTTCCCGGTGCGCTTTCACTGGGTCCTGTTAGCTTCTGTTGACGATTCCTACCTGAATGAGTAGTACCACAATGGGCGCAAGGGGGTGATTCTTCTACTCTGTCATTTCTTTGGCCGTTTTTTATTTCGTGTTTTGAGACAAGGTCTCCCTATGGTAGTTCAGGCTGGCTTTGAACTCATTATGTACCTGAGGCTGGCCTTGAACTTGTGGTGATCTTCCTGTCTCAACCTTCGGAGTGCAGCCTCCCGAGTGCTGGGATTACAGGTGTGCGCCACCATGTCAGGCTGAGACAGTTTATTTTAAAAACAAACTCCTAGTTCTTAAGGACCATTTCACTCTTCCAGTCAGAGAAGCATGAATACTTCTGCGCTTGCACTGCCCCAGCCCTGGCTTTGTCTCGTAGGAAACCAAGATGCAGGTACTAAAACTCTTACGGCTATGAGGGTAGCATTACTTTGAGGTCCTCTCCCTAGAAGCCTATAACATCTCTACATGTGCCTTAAAATTATGCTTCTCCATTTATACCTCAAATTCCAATGTAAGCATGGTGGCACATGCCTGTAATCCCTGTGCTCAGGAGGCTGAGGCAGGAGGATGGTGAATTCAAGGCCAGCCTGGGCAACATAGTGAGAGCGTGTTTTATAAAACTGAAAAAAAGATTCAATGCAGCGTTGCTAGGTTCCCCCCCCAGAACACTCCCTGCTTCATCTTCCAGTCTGACTTTGCCCAGAGGGAACTGGGCTCCCCCAGCTTCCCCCGCCACCCCAGCAGAGTTCAAGCTTTGCCTGCAGTTTGTTTTCTCCCTGGTGCTGCGGGCGTTTGTGCACATTCAGATGATCATGTTCAGAGGTTACCTGGCACAGTTCCTGTGTTTTGGTTTTCTGTGCGGTTATGTTCATCATTGGAAATCGGTTTATTCTGTTTGCCTTCGGTTTTAGTTTTCTCTACAGTCTTTGTTGATTTAATCTCCTTCATGAATATGTAAATATGAAGAGGACTCCTAGATCAAAACTGTTCCAAAAGGTGTTCCAGGAAGATATCATCGCCTCCCCAGCTTCTCCGCCTCATTCCTATGCAGCCCCTGTAGGCCACCTATCCCCTTGGTTCTGTTTTTTGCTTGCTTCTTTTTTCTTTCTTTCTTTGTTTCTTTTTGAGATAGGGTCTTGCTGCGTAGTCCAGGCTGGCCTTGAACTTGAGGTGATTGTCCTGCCTCAGCCTCCTGAGTACTGGAATCAGAGGCATGTGCCAACACACCTGGCCTCCTTAGTTTCCGGTTATCCATCTTTTCTATTTTTGCAAAAAGGTGTATTTGTGTTTGCCCATGTGCATGTGTGTTTACGTATCTGTATATCTATGTATGTCCGTGTATATATCATTTCTGCTCTTTCTTCCTCTTGAAAGAATCCCTGCTCCCCACCCTTTTTTTTTTTTTTTTTTTTTTGAGACAGGGTCTCACTCTGTAGTCCAGGCTGGCCTCAAACTCATGGCAACCCTCCTGCCTCAGCCTCCTGAGTGCTGGGATTACAGGGATGATGAGCCCCATGCAACCCAGAGTGCAGGGTAAAATTCACGCACATTTCTTAGCCCAGCAAGAAGGCTGGGTGGTCCCTTGTGGACATTCCACGGTGTGGGTGTCTCCTGCTTGCATTCCGAGAGCTGCCCTGTCAGCCTACAGCTCTGCACCGCCTCCTCCGGGGTCCCGTGTCTTTGAACGTCTCTCATGGTGGTCGATCATGAGAGGCCAGGTTGGAGGGGAAGATGTGGGGGTGAGCCTTGGGTGGCAGTGGCAGCATATATTTGTCATCCTTCCCGACAGGAGATCTCCCTCTTGCAGCAGACGGTCAGCACCCTCATTGCCTCCTCCACCTCGGCCTACGCTGTCAGGTAGGCCCCGAGCAGCGCGGAGAGGCGGGGAAGGCTCAGGGCTCTGGAGCTAGACAGTCAGATTACTTGGAGTTAATACTGTTAGTAACAAAGCCTGTAAGCAGATACCGTCAGAATGTAAACTGGTTTTTGATGCCAGGCCCTCATGTACGCTAGGCAAGTGCTTTTGCGTTAAGCTACATCCTTAAATATCTTCAGAACAGGGTTTTGCTAAATCGCCCAGGTTGGTCTCTGTCTTGGGATCCTCCTGCCTCAGCCTTCTGAGTGGCTGGGGTTATGGGCCTGTGCCATCACATCCAGCTGAGAACCTAACTTTTTTGTTTTCAATAACGTGCCCCTCCTTGTGCCCCACTGACCACCCAGCTCCTCAGCGTGCTCCTGGTCCTTGGGTGTGTGCAGCGCCCGGCTTCTGTCGGCGCCCCTGGGAAGGGCCTGTAGCACGTGGATGGAAAGGGTTGAGACGCGGCTGTGGTGTATGCAGCGGGGTTCTGGAGCCAGCAAGCATCTGGCAAACGAACGCCGGTTATTTACCAGCAGCGGCCCGGAGGGGCAGGCGGCTGGGGAATGGACGGCGCGAAGGGGCCGGCTTGTCTGTCCCTGCCAAGCTCCAACGGCTCGGCGCTCTCTTCCCACCTCCCGCTTCCTTCCCAGCCACAGCCGGTTCCCCTCGGCTCCCCTCCTGTGCTGTCTGTCTTGCTCCAGGCTCGGGTCCTTCCTGACTTCCACCAAAGCCCAGGACTTCCTCCCCGGTCTGTGACTGCTTTCCGTCCCTCCCTCCTCCTTCCTTCTAAATGTACACAACTAAAACTTCCATTAAAAGGTGGAGCTCAGGGGCTGGGGATTTAGCTCAGCGGCATAGCGCCTGCCTGGCAAGTTCAAGGTTGTAAGTTTGATTCCCAGTACTGGAAAAAAAAAATGTTGCAGCTCAGCAGCATTTAGTGCAGTCATAGCATTGTGCAGCTACCAGTTCTGTCCAGACCCACAACCTCTTCATCACCTCAAGAGGAAGCTCTTACAGAGCAGCCGCTCTCTGTTCGTCTCAGCCATCACCCTGGAAACTGCTGGTCTCCCTCCCTCCATTCCTCCCTTTTTTTTTTTGAGACAGGGTCCAGGCTATCTCAAAGTTCAGGGTTCAGGTTCAAGGCCCAGGTTGGCAAGTTGCAGCAATCCTCCTGCCTCAGCCTCCCAACTGCACCACCAGGCCCGGCTAGTCCTTTGCTCATTTTTCCTGCTTATTCTGATTATTCACCTGACCATACCCGTGGCTTCTGTTCACACAGGGCTCCGGCTTCTTCCTACCTGCCCTCATCCTCCCCTCTTGCACTTTCTTTCCGTATAGCCCTCCAGCTGTGGCCGTGGGCGCGGTCAGGAACGAGCGTCTGGGGTGGGGACACCACTGCCAGCCTTAGTTGCTTGCACTGTGACAGGTTGATGAGGATGGCGTGTGCCGCTCTAACTGGGGCCCTCCTTCCCTGGCCCGCAGCTGGTGTGGAGCCCCGGGCACAGAGAGCGCTGGGGCGGGGCTGGCAGCTGTCAGGCCAGGCTCTTGCCCAGGAGGACTGGCCTGAGTTTAAGTTAGCCCTAAGGGCAGCGTCGAATGCGGGGAGAAGCTGGGGCTGGGTAGCGCACCGGCTTGGCAAAGGCGTGGCCCTGAGAACTAGACGCCCCTGGGCAGGAACCTGGGGGCGGCGGCCTGTTGTGTCTCCCTGGCCGGTGTCCCTGTGCCCTTGAAGTAGGCTAAGAGCACCCTGAACTCACAGCCCGCTGCGCTACATCAGAGGCTTCAAAGCAGTGTTCACAGTGGAGCAGGGCGGGCAGTGTTCATGAGAGGCTTGTGGCCGTCCCCATACCCCAGTGGGCTGTGTGCTCAAGTGGTGGTGACGCCTGTCACCACCTGTGCTCGCGAGGCCCTGCGCCGTCCAGGTTACCTCACCCCTGGGCTGACCTCGTGGCCTCCAGGTGAAATCTCTCCCTGGGCCCCCATCACCCACCGTTCCCCTCTTCCACGGTCACATTATAATTCCCGGGCTCCCTGACACTGCTGTGTGCGCCCCTGTAATGCCCAGCGGTGGCCGAGGCTGGTACGTGGGACCCACCAGGCCTGGCACCCCAGCCTGGGAGCCCAGAGATTTCCCTGCTTCTCATGACCACAGGCAACCGCAAGCTGATTTGCCGCTTGCCTGTGACCCAGATGACCGCACCCTCCCCCTGTGACCTCCAGCTGACTGCCCCCTCCCTGTCCCCTCTGCTGACCCTGCCCCTCCAAGACTGCGGGCTGAGCCCCGGTCCAGCCTCGTCTCCCACTGCCCTGCCCCAGGGAGGAGGCGAAGTCCAAGATGGGCGTGCTGCGGGAGCGGGCAGAGAAGGAGGTGGCGCAGAGCGACACGGAGGCGCAGATCTTGCAGCGGCAGGTGTCGCACCTGGAGCAGCTGCATCGCTTCCTCAAGCTCAAGAACAACGAGCGCCAGCTGGACCCCGCCGTCCTGCAGAAGCGCGAGCAGCGGGGTGAGGCCCAGGCCGCTTCTCCACCGCGGGCCCGCGGGCTCCGCTCCGAGGGGCCAGCGCCGCCGGG